CTCCTCACATTGCGTACGCAGAGCTTTGATCCACCTTGTACCACAGCAGGTCAAGCATCACAGTAAACAGAATTAAGATCGCACTTTGATATACCTGTTACATTATTGAGTTTCAAAGTGATGCTGTCTGAGAAATGGGGAGACAATGGAAATATTTTCCCAGAAGCCAGATGTGTTCATAGTAGACAAAGCTTGGGAGAAACAGTACAGCCATATTTGTACCACCTTAAGGTATGCTCAGAAAGGTATTCTACCCCTCCTGGAAAGCAGCAACATGTAAGCCACCACAGCCAAACCCTCTGTTGGGAAGAAGATACCTAGTTTCCAAGCAAGCCAGAGAGAATGTTTTTGGAAGCCAATGTTTTCCAGTCAATCAAGTATTGCGCAGAGCCAAACCAGACTCTACAAGGCTTTGCATAGCTGTGGATATGTGCAACTCCTTAACAGAGACATCTCTGCTCACCACCAGCACATCCCAGCTGGTTCTTGGAGGCACTTCTGTTTGATCAGCACTATTTTGCTTTTAGCTGCAGACAGCTCAAGGCAGTTGCTGTTCATCGAAGAGATTGTTTCCCTCTGACACTAACGGTACTTCATCACTTAATGCAACAAGACACTCCAAGTGTGTTACTGGCATACCAGAAGCTAGGGGCTGACAGCTAACCCCATGGCATCTTGCTCCAGCAGTCTCCCATACATCAAGAGGCAGGGACAGGCCAGATGCCTGCAAACTCCGCAGGGTCTTCCAAGGGGAACGGCATCGTCTTTAAAACCCTGTGCGCGGGAGGGCAGCCGGCACCCTCCCGGTGCCACGCCATCAGCGCTCCCAACACCGCTGCCTGTACCCTGAGGAACAGGCTTCAGGAACATCACCTGCCTGCACCTCGAGCCTCCAGCACTTACTTCTGCCTACACCTTGATGATGGCAGTAGCGGGTATCCTTAGCGCGGCTTCTGTGCTTCATAACCCTTGCTCAAATTGAAACGTGAGTTTCAGCAAACCTGAGTTTAGGTGTGGTCGCAGGAAGGGTAAGCTAAGCCTTAACAACAGGGAGTTCAAGAAAAGCGTTGAGTGCAACCAACACACAGCACTGGGAGCCTCCCACCCCACGAGGACAGGTAGGCTGGCTGCACCTCCAAGAAGACTGTCAAGTGCCCCTTTCCTTTTAAAGCTCTTCAGGCTCACCAGTGTAACATAGGCCCTCTGTTTCAAAGATTTATCCCTGTTTTGATTGTTATTTGAACACTCAGCTGGGCCAGCCCAACCTAAAACGAAAGCTCAAGCATGTTCACAAGCAGCGCACAGCCACCCATCCTTAAAACGAAAACACAAGAACTGGCCTTTTCATTAAGGAGAGGAAACATCTCCATGATATATTCCTCCTCAGAAAGGTCACATCTGTATCACAGAACAAGACATTGTTTGAAAATCATAAGCACAAAAAAAGCCTTTTTTGGTACCTAGGCCATAAAAGGACTCCCCTGTTTCATACGTAGATAGAAAGCACTTAATCAGACGAAAGGTGACTGCAAGCAAAAGCACTCAGCGCAACAGAGTACCTTCTCTCCCAAAACACAGGTCCAGCAGTCACTAGTGGTCACTGATGGAAGCAGTGCTCACAGAGCAAAGCTGATTTTTTTTCATTTTAAGGAACTCTGGAAGGTTGTGCTTTTACACTGTCAGCAGTTTTCTAGCACACAACCTCCTCTGTGTCACTGCTAATGACATAACAGAGGGAAACCATTGGCTGAGGGAATTATTTTTCTCCCTATAAGGACGGAAAGAATCGGGAAGAGTGCGCTTTCTCCTGAATATATTTGGCTCTGCAGAAGACACATGTGATACAAATGTTGCTATGGAAACTATTCTATTAAATAATATTAAATTAAATTTGCATATTTAAAGTGCGCAATAACAGTCCAGGTACAAAACTAATTAGCCTAAATTCAATCTTGAAATTACAAAGTAGGCCCTACCAGAACTGTCATTTTTCTTTTAAAAGAGGTTTGGGGTTGAGCAAGCTGCTTCTCTGCACCCCTTTCTTTCCAAATGTAGCATCTGCACCCCAGTTATACAGAAAAGTCATTTCTTGAGATAATTTGTAGATACAAGCTCTGCCTCTAGTTCCCTTGGTGATGGAATTACCATAGCATTACAGAGAAAAACCCAGGAGCTGAATTCAGTCTGAAAAGACAATGCACTGATTACAGCTGTGCCACCATAATATTGGAATGTATTTTCATAACTCCCACTTCCATCTCACCACGCACAAAGTATTGAAATCCTTCTCAATTAAACAGGGGTCCTACACGGGGCTGGAGTAGACTTGTCCTTCGTAACGTTTTCACAGCATGGCAAAGTTCTTCGAAAGTCAGTTATTTTAAGGTCTAAAGTATTTTTTTTCCCTTCCCACCTGCGGCTCCTGGGTGTCCAACAGCCCTCTCCAACTTAGCTACCAGAAAACAAGCTGTTTGCATAGTTCCTCCCTCTCTGAAGAAGCCAAGCTCACATTAGCCACTGATTAAGACTGAATTCAAGCTCTTGCTAAAGCCCCAGGTACTCAGCCAGGTTCAGTACCAGCTGTCCACATACACACCTGCAGCAAGGAGGAAAAAGCACAGAGAAAGGACACATTTTAGCTGGGACTGCGTACTGAGAAGCGGGTGCTGACAGTTGCACTGCTGCTGCAAGCAACACAAGCTTGTCCTGCATTTAAAGAACTTGGGTTAATCATAATTACCCATTTCTACTTGGGTGTTGTAAATCAGGGCACTGGGCTTTTAAGCAGCTTATAGAAAATGCAAGTCACAGGAAGAAATCTGCAGCCGTGTTTCAACTGTCTGTTCTTAGAGTAGTGGGCCAATACTCTAAACTGAAAACTACAGGGAGAGAGAAGCATTACTGCTGATGAAACAACTTGTTTCCAAACAAATGGAGCAGCAAGATTTGAAGAGGTCATCTCTCCCTCATAGCACAGCTTCTGTCACCAGATCTAAAGCAGTGACAGCCAGATCAAGGCGGCTACTACCTTCCCTCCTAATGTCCTCCACAGCACTGGAAAGCTGTCGGGACAGCACGCCCAGAGCCAAGGGCAGCTTAGGGCAACAAACTCAGAGCTCTTCATTTTAACAAATCTACGGCCATGGGAACTCTCTGGGACTTTGCTTGGACTTCTTCACAAAAGCACTTTCCATAAGCCCTTTCCCACTTTCCAGCCACTGATAATGATACAAACCTTTGGAACTAGAAAGTGAGAGATCAAATAAAGAAACTGTCTTTTCAAAGAAAACATTTAACGTTTGTTCCATTTCCATGGACTCAGTGTCGTTCTCCATTTCTCCCTCTGTTTTTGCACTCAGCTGTCAAATGCACTTCTACTGAGAGGGCATTGAGTGTTTCCTCACCACCACCACCCTCAAAGTGTTTTGGAAAGCCTTAATAAAGGAAAGACGCGGGCATTAACAGAACTTACACCTGTCTCAGAATTAGATGTGCCTTATTCACATGCCCATTGGGTTTCACTGTTACAGTATGGAAAGATGTGTCAAAGTTTAATCTTACGCTTCGTTTATGCTGGAGCAAACTGAATACTGATATACATTCAGTAAGGAAAGGATAGTTACGATACACTAATTGTGCCAAGTTTACTACAAGTTCTCTCATAATGACGTTATCTCCCTCCGTCACTGAACCATGCAGTTCTTAAAGAACGAACTATGCCTGTAAGTCCAGGTACAAGAAAAATAGCCTGCTGGAATACTTTAAAGTGCTTTCCAGCTTCCAAACAAGTCAGGGAGATGCAAATTACCAAAACTGTAGAGAAGCCATTGAACATGGATACAGCAAGAGTCTGAAACTGTAATTGTAATGAGCCAGCAAAAGCTTTCAGATGATCGCGTGCACACCCCCCCCCATAAGCCGACCCATCAGTTCTCATTAAATACAAGAAATGAGTTCCTTTCCTGTCACGAGAGGCACATCTATCAATTAAAACATTTTACATACACAAGCCTCGCTCCAGTTTGCAACCCCTTAAGCCATGTTGGCTCCCTGAGGTAGACAGGAGGTGTGGAGCACGCAAGTCCCAGCACTGGAGCGGCTCTGGTAGTTTGCTCAGGGGAGCAAGTAGCAGCAGCCCACGCACTGTCGGAGCAGACCACGCTTTAAGAGAGCATATGCCAACTGGGAACTGACCCACCACTGTTGCATTATCTAGTGCCTACAATCAAATCTAAGAACACGCCATGGTAGTAAAAGAACAGCCTTTAAATAAGTTTAAAATTACATAAGGAGCTAAAGGGGGGCTGTTCGGATTTTCATCCTGCGCAACTCAAAATGAACTTAAAAGCCCTAAAGATATCACAAGTTCTTCACCTGTCCCACGCGAGACCTCCAAGCCCCGATTTGCAGCAGCCCCCTCCCACGAACCCCAGACTTGAGCACCTCCGGCCGGCTCTCAGCCCTCACCCCTGCCCAAAGTCCCCCCCGCACCCCCAACCCTCCCGGTCCCGAGGGCACAGGCACCCCCAGATCCCCTGTCTTCCTCCCGGCCACCCCCTTCCCCGCTGCCCCCCCCCGCGTTCCCTTTTCGCGGCAGCCCCTACAGCTCCGGCCCGAAGTTGGCGGCGGCTGCCGGGCGCCCCGGGGAGCTCGGTGTGAAGGGCAGAGCCGGGAGGTGGAGGCAGCACAGCCTTCCCGGCAGGCAGCATCCCCATCTCCCAACGGGAGAGAGAGAAAAAAAAAATATATATACATATAGGTGGGTGTATATATAATGCATATATATATATGCGCGCATTTAGGTGCCTTTCTTCTTCTCCCCCATCCCCCCCCCCATTTTTTTGTTTTTTGTTTCCCCTGCGGAGACACCCCCTGAGCTCAGTTTGCAAAAAGAGGAGGACAAAGGAGTGGAAGGGAAAAAAAAAAAAAAAAAAAAAAGGGAAAAAAAATTTAAAAACAGAAGCCCAAAGGCAGGTGGCCCTGGGGGGCCCAGCACTCACCCCCAGCCGCCTGCTCCGGATGCGCACGTAGCCCTGCTTCACGATGTCGTTAAAATTGGAAGCCATCCTTCCCGGGGAAAAGTTGAGGCGGCCGGCGCCGCTCAGGCAGCCCGCATGGCGCGCAGCAGCCTCCGGAGCCGCGCCCCGCTCCGCACCGCACCGCCCCCGCGGAGCAGCCCACGGCCCCC